CAGTCGAACGCTTTGGAGAAATCAATTAAAAAACGATAGAATAGTTGTATAGTTTTCCTGACTGTTAAGTTGAATACTAGTATGTACTAGTATATCGTCTACACTGTCGTAGCCCTTTCGAATTCCTGCTTGATTTTCCAATATAATGATGTTATCCTTTGACCATTTCTGTAATCTTTCATTTAGGATGTTAGTATACATTTTCACAAACAGTAGTAAAATTCTCTGCAGTTCTGCATATCATCAGCAGATCCTTCCATATAATTGCTTTACACCATTCATCCCGGTGATCTATACTGGTTACAATATTATTTAAAAGATGAACCAAAACAGGAGGCATCATATCACATGTTGTTGTGAAACTTCGTGATTTCTTCTGTTTCATATTTCATATTTTTGCTGATTGTTGAAGCTTCAAAAATGTTATTGGAAGATAAAGGTCTCCTTGCATTCTGGGTATGAGTGAGTGAGTGAGTTGGGTTTAACGGCGCTTTTAACAGTTTTCCAGTTATATCACGGCGTGTCAGCTTAATGTGGGAGCAAAGCCCGAAGTGATGCAGGTCTCAAACGTTTACCACTTCGGTGAAACCCACGAGCACGGGTATGGTGCTGACAAACCCAGAAACATTATCGGGGTGAACCGGGATTCGAACACAATCATAAAATTCTGGCGTGCCCAAGCGACGTTACACTGCACAGCAAATTTCGGCGCCTTAGACGACCCGTGCCCCCAGCATTCTGCGTGTACATTCAACACAGATGCCATCATGTCGGGATATACAATCGTGTACTGTATCAAACTGTATCTTGTTTCTGAAAAGATTAATATACACCAGCCCCACGCTGAAATATTATTTGTAGTTTTACATGTGTTTAATCTCTTCAGTTCCGTCCCCACATCATCGATATTATGACAAATAAAATTTTATTTATTTTTAATTTCACGGTCAAAGTCTCTCTTCTGTGAGCATAGATTCTTGAAATGAGAAAGGTGTCAACAATAGTGTTTGAGTGAGTGAGTATGGTTTTACGCCGCTTTTAGCGATATTCCAGCAATATCACGGCGGGGGACACAAGAAATGGCCTTCACACATTGTACCAAGAAATGGCCTTCACACATTGTACCCATGTCGGGAATCGTACCCGGGTCTTCGGCGTGACCCGCTAACGCTTTAACCACTAGGCTAACCGACCGCCCCTAATAGTGTTTGAATATCTACATTACTATACTATCACAATACGTGGCCAATTAGAAATGCACATAGTACGAGTCAATATACCCTCTATGGTTCCTAACAGCACTACACATAGTAGTATAACCGCCTAGTAAAACAGATAGACACAAACATCCTTAATAAACAGCTTATGAACACGTAAACGTCTGGATTAACGAGTATTTGTAGGAATAAGCGATTCAAACGACGAAAGACAGGGGAATACGTAACAAGGTCAGGTAACAATAAATGAAAGAAAATTAACAATTGAGAAAATATCCATGGACCTAAAACGTATATTTCTATTAATGGATCGTTCTGGACCCATTAGCTCAAGATGCACAGATCTAAGCTACACTTCAACGTTATATACCGATAACGGAGTCACCATCTCCTCACGTCTACCAAATTATTTGAAGGGCAAAAAGGCAGAATAATAATTGATTTTCCATTGCCCCAGGAGATGAAGCAAAACAGCTCCATGACGTGAGCTAAGAGATCTCCTCCACATGGGGTAGCGAGCTTAACAAATCATGCTACAATGTCCAGTTATCGATAAGCGTATTATCATGATGCCACTTAATGCCTCATGAATAGATCGAAGTTGCAATCATTAAGAGCTAATGCTGATTAATATAATCACAACCATTCATTTAATCTGAACCGAATTATATAATGCATTGTTGCTCATACGTATCCTTGACGGACAGGCTCATTACAAAAGCCGTACGTATAAATATTTCTGAGGGTCAGTTCTCTACGATTCTACATCCAGCCGTCAACACAACCAGAGGCATATGCGTTTACATTCAGTATGTAACAGGAACGGTATGTACGTCACCCAAGGGGTATTCTTAATATGATTTTACTAATTAATGTCTCCATTCTGCTATTAAATCTTGATCTACAAACAACATGTCACCCTTCACATGGAAATGTAGTTCCAGTGGGTATTTGATATTAATGATGACACCTATTTATGGATTAATATGCATCTATCTTATTAATCAGTCACAGAGTGGGGGAAACAGGTACTTGTTGAGGTAACAAAAACTATTGATACAACATTAACCTTACATGCCAAATGAATTCTGACTTTTGAGTATGTCACACGGGTAATTGTCAAAGAAAGTATTAATTTAATTCATCCTTTGAAATATTTCACTTTAACTTTAAATACACTTTCACACCCATGCAACATTGTTTTACTAGTTTTATATGTGCCGAGCGTCTTTTTCAACATACATGGAGACGTGTAACCCACATTCCTTGATAACTGGATACTGTTGAAAGCGGCCATTAGTCCAACATAATCACGCATCTATCTTGCATAACTGGTCTAAGTCTATCTGTGTTCCTCTTTGTGTTTCAGATTAAGCTGGTCTTGAGTTCAAACGATCTTCATCTTTTTGAAACGAAGGGCGTGTTTGCGTCACTACATTCACCATGAAAAGGCTAGACAAACCCTATGGTTTCCACATGTGTGAAGGGAATCGAACCCAGGTCTTGACGAACGCATGTGGTAACCACATGGCAGCAAAGCGCAACTTGATTGGTAACATACTGGCCTTTCCTCCTGAAGAGTAGTCTGGAAACACACCAAAACAAAGTTTGATGAGATAGGATCTGATATACTGATGTTTGCCTATGTTCTCAATGGAAGGGATGCACCCAGCACACAGAACGGACTGCTACCACGGACTGACCCCTGGTGCACCCCGGTCCTAAAGAACATCAGATCACTCAGAACGTTTCCATAACAAACATTGCACCATGTTGAGTATCGGCCTATGTAGCCGGGATATAAAAAGGTTCTTCTGTCAATGACTCCGTGTGTACGTTTACATGAGGTACGTGAGATATCTCCTGCATTCCACACAGAGAAAATCAAGGAATTCCATGCTAGACATCCGTGGGTACGCAGCCAGGATCCTATGATGGAACTTCACTGTGGGAACCTAGAGTAGAACAGGTCGCCAGAAGTTGACTGATTTGGGAAACTCAAAACGTGATGCAGTTGAAATTTGGCTTAACAGATTGTCTGCACTGATTAACAGAACTATAAGTCTATTACAGATAATAACACCCAGATCTGTGTGGATGTGCAAATCCTTGGATTCGCTGCAAAACTTGCACAAGTACCTGTATATGCATATCATGGCACACGTGCTTGTGTCACAGAGGAAGACTCGGGGGAAATGAGTTGGAAGACAAAGGATGAAAGTTAGACAACACCTAGTCCGGTCGTGCTTGCCTTGCCATGTTCGAATATTCGATCTGAATCGACAGCTTGAAATTAACGCTGGCAGAATTGGAGCTGACCATAGCAGAAGAAAGAGAAAAATAGTAATGATGGCCGTAGTAGAAGTTGTAGTAGTTGGCAACTTGCAGTAGTTGACGTTGGCGACTTCCTTCGACCTCCACATAATTATAGTTATAACAGTATATGTACTGATATGAAATGTCGGTGTTAAACATTCAAGGGTTAAAACAATGATAGTGATGGAGGTAATAGAATTAGACGTATTTAGCTGCAGTAGTAAGACTAGTAGAAGCTACAGGAGGTGGAGTGGTGACACTGATTGTATCATTAACATAGATACTGTTGTATGGTACTACAGTAAACTACGTTTATAACGAACTCAAAGGGACCACTAATTTTAGTTCGTAATAACCGTAAGTCCTTATAATCATATATACGGCATATATACAACAAGGCCGGGACTAAAAAATAATTTGTTATATCGGGAAGTTCGTTATAAAGGTAGTTTACTGTACATGTAGATTTAATAGTGGTGGTGGTGATGACACCGATGTTATGTTAGTGTTAGTGGGGCTACGGTGATGGCAGTCATATTAGTCTTAGCTTTCATGGTAGAGGCGGCGTGGTGATGGCAGTGATACTAGTCTTAGTCTTAGAGGTCATGGTGTTGGGGTTGTGGTGATGGCAGTGATACTAGTCTTAGAGGTCATGGTGTTGGGGTTGTGGTGATGGCAGTGATACTAGTCTTAGAGGTCATGGTGTTGGGGTTGTGGTGATGGCAGTGATACTAGTCTTAGAGGTCATGGTAGTATGTGTGTGCTGATGGCGGTGATGCTAGTGTTAGAAGTCGTGGTTGTGGTGGTGGTGGAGGGGTTGCGATGGCAGTGATACTAGTGTTAGAGGTCGTTGCAGTGGGTGGGTGTTGATGGCAGCGGAACTAGTGTTAAACGTGTTAGATGGAGTAGTAGTAGTGGTGATGGTGGTAGTGGTAGTGGTAGTAGTTGTAGTTGTCGTGGTGGTAGTAGTAGTAGTTGTAGTAGTAGTAGTGGTGGTGGTAGTAGTAGTAGTAGTAGAAATGGCAGTGGTGGTAATACTAATAGTGGTGGTGGTATTTGTAGTTGTAGTTGTAGTAGAAGTGATGGTGGTAGTAGTAGTAGAGGTGGTTGTAGTAGTAGTAGTAGCAGTAGTAGAAGTGGAAGTAGTAGTAGTACTAGTGGTAGTAGTATTAGTAGCAGTAGTAGTCGTAGTAGTAGTAGTAGTAGTAGTAGTAGTAGTAGTAGTAGTAGAAGAAGTAGTAGTAGTAGTAGTAGTAGTAGTAGTAGTAGTTGTAGTAGAGGAAGTGGAAATGGCAATGGTAGTAATACTAATAGGTGGTATTTGTATTTGTATTTGTAGTTGTAGTAGAAGTAGTAGTAGTAGTAGTAGTAGTAGTGGTAGTGGTTGTGGTGGTAGTTGTAGCAGCAGCTGTACTTGTAGTAGTAGTAGTAGAAGTAGTGGTAGTAGTAGTTGAAGTAGTAGTAGTA